GATATTGGGTTTACATAATATCAGAACCAAATAATGGAATATGGCTGATGTTATTTACTCAAACGTATTTTATTTGTTTCAAAAGATGCAATGTGCTTGCCTTTTTGTTATCTTAAGGATAATTTAAAAATAAATTATTCTCAGTGGGTACAATTTAAGAACAAAAGCTTACTTTTATAGTGTTAGTCAAAACAAAAAAGCTTCATTTGAGATAATGAAACAACTTCTATAATAGTTATTTATGATATAAGTGTTAAGCAATTCACATAAGTGCCTTAAAAATACTTTTAACACAAATATCATACAATATTTTTTCTACAAACGGCAATAAAAAGCAATAACCACTAACAAATTGGATTTTTAAATGAATAATAAATTGGAAGCATCTTTCCTACATAAAATTCTTGAATTTGACATTTGTCAAAAAATCCATACAACTAGCACCTTGTTTTACAGGTAACGAAATGTCTTGTTAGTTTCTTGAAAGTATGTCGTGGTCAGGAATGCTTTTTGCTAAAAATGCAACAAAATACAGAAGAAAAAGAGAGTTGCATCGATCCTTCGAAAAATATAGATGAGGCGGCCAATCGGGCTACCTCAGTTGTTCAAATTTCACCATTATTATCAATGTAAATAACTGAAAATACAAACTTTTTTTGACGTCTGCTCTCAAAATTTGATGTTTCACTTTTAACACTAGTGCTATAAAGACTTTATGGCACTAGTGCGATAAAGTAACATTTTTAACGCTTCGCGGCGGTGTTAAAAATTGCATTTTTAACACGTTTGTAGAAAAAATTGTTTTATTCTATCTCGATAAATAGGTATTGTATAATTGTCATAAGGATAAAATATAATTTTGCTCCATAACTGTTTTCAATAAAAATGTTTTATAATTGTTGCAAACTATGTTTTATAGTAATTTTGTACAGGGACGTAGCGAAGGCCTCTGGTTTGGGGGGGGGGGGGTGACATTCCTAAATTTCCCAACTTTATTAAAACATTAAAAAAAATCATATTAAAAACTATTTCCTTCCTCAAACAACTTTTAGACACATAGCGCGTGAGTCGGGGTATAAAGACGAAAGGCTACAAAAAAAAAAAACGCGCATCTGTAGTGACGTCACAAGGGCATCGGCGCTTAACAATAATAGGCAATTCTCTTTATTTATAATCCTTGGATTGCGTCAATCGTTCGTCGGCTGTCATTGTCATTGGCTGTCTTTCTCCGTCTCTCCACGTTATACCGGATGACAATGAAACTACTACCCATGGCGCCATTTCTTAACGGCTCGAGATAGAAATATGCAACTCGGTTTGTTGATAGGGTTGAAAATTGTGAACAATTTTAAAATAAAAACAATTGAATATCTTTTCCGGTTTCACCGGAAATGGCCTTGACTTTGTTATTTCAAATAAGACACCCTATATATTATCTTTTTTTTGGACTCTGAACAATTCCAAATAATTTTTGTATGAATACCCCATGTTAAAAATTGATAGTTTTTGCAATAGAGCCGTAATGTACGTAGGTATATGTAATTAAATGAGTGAAGTGACAACTTGAGAATAGGTTATCAAATTTTTAATTTTGCAGGTATCTATGAAGGTTGAATTTGTCATATTTGAATAAAGGATAAAAAAGTAGCATTGGGTAGTGGAAGTTTCATTTCCATAAGATGAACCAGTTTCGTACAGGGTCCGATCAAAAACTGAAACATTCATTTTCGAAAAACGCGTTTTTCTTAACTTGCATTAATTCTTCTCTTTAATTATTTATCGGATACCTCTTTGAATAAGGAGCAAATAACCATGATTTTTTTTGTTCTGGCATACTCAGTTTTTGCATAAAATACAAATAAATAGGGATTACGACATATTTTTGATCCACTCTATTTCAAAAACTATCAATTTTTGACATAGAGTTATTTAGAATTGTTGAGAGAGTCCAAAAAAAATATAATATATAGGGTGTCCCATTTGAAATAACAAAGTCAAGGCCATTTCCGGTGAAACCGAAAAAGATATTCAATTGTTTTTATATTAAAATTGTTCAAAATTTTCAACCCTATCGACATACGAAATTGCATATTTCTATCTTGAGCCGTTAAGAAATGCCGCCGTGGGTAGTAGTTTCATTGTCAACCTTCTTCTCTCTCGTCTGTCGTGTGTCGAAATTTACTAAAACGTGTCGTTACGTGTAACGTGACGCGTCTTTCAAATCGCTTCACATTCTCATCCAATTCAAACCGTCGTTTAAGAAGTTTCACTTCAAAAAAATCATGTGTAGCATTATACACGTATTGAGAAGTGAAATTTTTAAAAAACTATACCCTCCCTCATGTGGCTTTTAGACTTAGCACATGAGTCGGGGTAAAGACGAAGAGCCACACAAAAGGGAGACGCGCATCTATAGTAACGTCACAAGGGTATAACCGCTCGACAATAATACTCAATCCTCTTTACTTATACTCCTTGGTTTGTGTCAATCGTTCCTCGTCTGTCATTGTCATTGGCTCGCTTTCATCTTCTCTCTACAGTCACAGTCTACATTATATCTTCCTTTTCTCTCGTCTCTCTTGTAACGAAATTTTCCAAAACGTGACGTTACGTGATGCGTCTCTCAAATCACTCTCCATATTCTCGTCTAAATATCAGACCGCCGTCTAAAAAGATTTACTTCAAAAACTGATAAAAAGTTTGAGATATATACAGGGTGTCCCGGATAAGGATGCAGTCTACAAGAATCTTGGCCACCATAAGAGATCGATACAGGGTTGATTAAATTTGGAAAAAGTTGCGCATTACTGAGCTCAGTGGCGTCATGTTTTGATATTTTGGAAATTCCGAATGATTCCAAAGATATCCATAAAAAACCGAATTTTGCCGAAATCGTTTTTATTTTTTTCTGACTTTATTTGAAATGCGATATCGCAAAATAAACTTTACATTCTCACTGCCACTTTTTCCCAACTGCATGATAATGTTATTAGATTTTTGATCAGACGTTTCGTTTCTCCGCGATCATCATCAACTTTGTTTTTTCAAATGGTCGAGTTTTTTATTTTATGGCTAATAAACTCTACTTTTTATTCTAAATCTAATGACATATCAAGCTCATAATTCCAGGAATATTTATTAATTTCCACTAGTGGTCCCATTAACGGGCCTCCGCAATCTCCAGACATTACACCGATGGATTCTAAAAAGTCAGTTAACTTCATTCTTAAGGAATCCTCAAAAGACAAAATCCATCGGTGTAATGACCGGAGATCGCGGATGCCCGTTTAAGGGACCCCTAGTGGAAATTATTATTCCTGGAGTTATGAGTTTGATATGTCGTTGGATTTAGAATAAAAAGTAGAGTTTATTGGGCATCAAATAAAAAAAATTCGACCATTTGAAATAACAGAGTTGATGATGATCGCGAAGAAACGAAACGTCTGATCAAAAATCTAATAACATCATCATGTAGTGGATATAAAGTGACAATGAGAATGTGGAGTTCATTTTGCGATATCATTTCAAATAAAGTGAGAAAAAAATAAGAACGATTTCGTAAAGAGATCCTGTTGTCCGGTGATTTTGCAATTCATTACGATTCACGACACGTGACACGATCCTAATGTTAATTTTAATTAGTCCTCGCAAATAAGGTGGGCAAATTTTTGTCTGCCAATTTTTCCCAACTTTAAATTTTTCATCCAAGTTTTCCCAACTTTCGGTATATTTTAGAAACTTTGGGGGGGGGGGGGGCGTTGCCCCCCCCCCATGGCTCCGTCCCTGATTTTGTAAATGTTTAAACAATTATCCGGTAAAAGATGTGGAAGCCATAATAAAACATTGGTATAGAACAAAATTGCTGCGCAAGAGTGCGCCCTTTTTGGTTTTATAAGCATTGTATAAACGTTGTTCGAACGTTTATAGCGACATTGTTATTTTATAATAATAGTTCTGTAAACGTTGTTAGGCCATTTATAAAACATAAATTGTTAGTTGGGGAACCTTGAGTAAGATTACTGTGGGGTGGTCGACTGTTCTGTCAGAAGATGTGTTAGAAGTTGGCACAATATTAGATAATGAATTTGAAAAAAATATTCGCTAGATATTTATGTTTTATGAAAAAAAGTAAGGTAGTGTCTTCTCTTTTTGCCGCCCCCTCGAGATGCGAAGGAGGGCACGCGCCCCTGTTCGCCCCCCCCCCCTTCCCTAAATCCGGCCCTGCCCCCAATACGTATTTAAGATCTTCCTGATAATATTTTTTGTTTAAGGGATATACCCGATTGTTACTATTCAAATGGTCACCCTGTATGTCCGATGTGGCCTGATTGGAAACATCACTGTCGAGCATGCAAATTGTCAATATAGATCAATCATGAATGTTATATATGAGACGAAATTAATTTTCAAAAAAAGTAAGGCAACTTTGATGTCAGTTTTACAGAAAATTCAATTTCTTTCATTAGTTGGTAACATTTTTGGAGATACAATTTAAGATCTACTATAGAACTTTATTTTCTTACGGACTTTTTGGGAGTTTAGCATGACATAAAAAGCTGTTGTGATATAGAGATTTTGTATATTACAAGCATACAACTAAGTGTCATGTGTATAACAGTAAATCATGCTTCCTAGAAAAAAAAGCATCATGCCTACAACAAATCAAACGACCCAAAAACTCATCTTACTCGCACTTTCCTTCCGGCACTTTGCCACCGATGCTTGGTGATCGTAGCCGATCGCATCAGTTGCCTTTTCGTCACTTTATCCGACAACTGTCTCGACAGTTTTCCTTGAAAACTGCCATCCAAACGCGAAAACGCTCCCTGTTTCTTTTGCGACTGACATTTAAACAAATAAATTAGTATTTTTGTTAGTTGCCTGCACGAAACACATACGAGTGAGCGACAATTAGACACCAAGTCGCTCACCCAATAAAAATGAAGAGTAGATTAATTATTGTTAATAAAAGCACCAATCAAAAACCAAATATTACTTACTTCTGGTTGTAGCAAGGCCTTAGATTCTAAAACCAGTATGTAAAACAACCAATAGAGGGCGAAAGGGTTGACGTAAGAAGCCCACTCAGTGCGTTCAAAGTTAAAAGTCCTAGGATCGATTTCTTCTGAGTTATTGCACGAAGATACCCGAAGGGGCGTCAAACCAAAATATCTATCAAAAATTGGTAATTTGTAATTTAAAAAAATCATTGAGACGTTGAAAATCTTACCTTGCCCACGTACTATTCCCGTCTAAAATCTCTTGGGACCATTGAAACTGGTAGGCATACAAGGCGCTCATGTGGGCAAAAACAAAGGGCACCACGCAGCACATTAAGATGGCGAAACCTCGACGCAGTTGTTTGTAGCACGACCACCAGGTGGCCACCGATAGGAAAATTAAGAAATAAAGGCCACCTATTACTGAAGGTCTTAGTACAGCTGCTAGACATAAAGTTAACAGTACTCCATAACGACCTGAAATAACATATTATTATTAAGAGGTTTTCTAGCTGACAGCTAACAGGCTACTAGACACATCAATCTAGTAGTCTGTATAATGATTATTACCTATTCCTACAATGAATGACAAGTACTTTTTTCGATTTTTAAGTTCTTCGTCTCGGCGTTCGTTTTCGGTACGATTGTCGCTTTCCGAGGTTTCTGAGTTAGGGACGGTGAGTTTCTTAAAAATAACGTAAAAAGCTACTGAAATAATAAGCATGATGGGTTCAGGTGAGATCCATGTGAAGGCGTCATCAACCGATATTTGGTTCAGTCTTACAAAGCCGACGTGACGTAGGAGTTTTTCGAGAAATTCGCAATCCTGGAAATAAAGGAAAATTTCAACAAATTCCATTGGGAATTATTTTATTATTGATTGCCAAAATCGGAAGCATTGTTGACTCTAGGCTTATGATAAAGTACCTGAAATTATTTGATTATAAATCCAATAATAACAGGTGATTAGATTTTTGTTAAATAAACACAGAAAATTTCCGTTTGTTGACAATGTCTATGGTTTATCAACGTGAAAATATTTGCAACAAGTTCATCAACTGAAAATAGCAACATCTCACTTATTATTTTTGTTGCAAATAATAATTACACTATGATTAATAATGTAAATATTTTCAGAAAATTAAGTATCTAGGCTTGTAGTTTTATTTATTTTTCTTGAATTTGAAATTGACTTATTGTGGGATTTGAAGCCAAAACTTTGAAAAAAGTAAAATTGGAAAATCCAAGTTTCTATCTATAATAGAATTTGAGGATAGTTTTCTTACCTTTAAAAAATGTGCGTAAGGTGGTAGGGCAAACAAAGTAATTTGAAACCCCAACTGTCCCAGTGTGGTCAGAGTGGAAATTGCTATGAGAATTTTCATGAAAATGCCTGTATGACTTTTCATGGTACTCTCGGTTGGTACTGGCACAAACGGTGTGTAGCATAGCAATAGGAAGTAGATCGCCGATAGGATTGAGGGTCTAAATAATATACCTGGAACAAAAAAAGTGATGTTTTAGAATTTTAAGTGAGTTGATTAAACTTTTGATATTATTGCAATCAGTTAAAAAATTTCATGAACTCAGAAAGTAAATTATTGAAACCTTCAAATGAGTTGCTTCTGAGCACATTTAAAAGTTACTGGATCCTGTTGCACACTTTTATTAAATAATAGACCTTTATCACTAGTCAATTTTTAAATTAACTATCAGGGTAAGAATTAATTGTATTTTCGGTAATTTAAAACATTTGACAACATTGCACAAACACTAATCCTAGAGCATATGAATCAGCAACTTTTACCTTGGTTTATTATATTTCTCTATGTCCTAGAGAATACTTTTTTGTAAGTTTGGAAGCATGTGACAACACTGTAAGTATGAATGCTACAAGCTTTCAAAACAATGTTGCCAAACTCAATTGAATCATTCAATTATTCAGAAGATTGTTAGGACATAATTTTTATATTCCAGGCTCTTGTATCTATTCTATTTTCTGATTTTTTTCTATTCAAAGAAGAAGAAAACCGAAAAACACAAAACTAATTGACGTTTTATTCTTAGAAATTCAACATTATGTGGCAACACTGCACGAATACTAAAAGTTCCTAAAACAGTGTTGCCACATACTCTACTTTTTTTAAACACTAATTTGGGTTTGCAAATTCTAAGCATCTGGAAACATTGCAAAAGTACTACAGACCGCAAAAAGCAATGTTGCCACATATTTCATAATTTTTTTCCAAAAGGGAGTTTGTTTTTTTTTATTGCAAATCTAGAGCACGTGGCAACACTATACAGGGTGTCACGAAAGGTATGTTACAAACTTCTAGGGATGGTAGATCTCGTAAAAATTATTATTTTTTTTTTTTTGATAAACATATGTCCAGAAATGCTTCGCTTTCCAGATACAGGGTGTTAAACTTTGTAAAAAAAAATCATTTTTTTTAATTAATTCTTAGAAATGCGTTGGACGAATTAAATGAAATTTTTATAGTTTGTTGACACCCTTATAGAGGTGGGAAACTATCGATAATTTTCCCTAGACTATCGAATACTATCGAATTTTGTATTATTGAATTGGTAACACTGGGCGAATTCTTTTATTCATCGATGGATCTATCTGTTGAAAGCATTATGAGACAGCCATTCCGATTTTCTATGAACTAGACAAAGATAGACAGGTCATCGATGGAGCCATCGGTGAATAAAAGAAAGCGCTTACTGACTAGGAGTGGTGACAGGTCGACAGCTGATGCTGAATTCTGACAGGAGTGATGGAGTGAAAGATGGCCGACGTAGGGGGCGCTTCCATTTCGCGCCATTTCGGAAAGGTTATTCTCGAAGGCTGGTAATATTTTGACAGTTAAAAGACCCAAACTTAAATCTAAAAATATAAATATGTTGTTTAAACAAAATAAATGGTTGCTTTCTTGAAGCGTTGTAGTTAAATAATTATTTTTGTACAAATACTATTAGAATCTTCAATTTTCATTTCAGTTCTAGGTTATATTTTCAAACCGATAGTAGGTACTATCGATATATCGATAGTTAATCAACCACTACTATCAAACTATCGATAGTTTTTGAATTCGATATTTTCCCACCACTACCCCCTTATGAGGCATCTTTTGGACTGCTCAGAGTTGACCCGGATGGTTTTGTGCACGAACAACATCGTCCCGTAGATTTATTAGGATGTATTTTTTGCATAGAACACTTAGAGATACAACTTTTTTATCTTTTCATTTTTTTCCATATGCTGCGTTGTTTTCGAGATAAAATATAAAAACCATTTCAGGCGAACCACGAACGTCACTGACCTCCACAAATAAAAAATAAATTGCCACAAAATTACCTGAAATTTTACCCAGGTATTTGTTGCTTAGAATTAAACAAAAAAATAAACAAAAAACTTTTTCTCTAAAATGCACGCATTTCTGGGAAATAATGTAAAAATTGATTTTTTTACAAAATGTCACACCCTGTATATCTGGAAAACGAAGCATTTCCGGACACATGTTTATTGAGAAAAACGCTTTATTTTTACGAGATCTACCATCCCTGAAGTTTGTAAGAAACCTTTCGTGACACCCTCTATATATGATACAAGCTTATAAAATAACATGGCAAAGTTTTCCCAAATCCTTTCGAGAAAATCGACTTTGAAGTTTTTCAAAAATTTGAGACAAAATTTCAACTTTGAGGCTCAATATCTCGAAAACTATTTGAGCTATGAAATTGAATCTTGTTTAATCTTAGAGAGCGTTTAATTCTGATTCATAATACATAATTATACATCAAAATTTGTAAAATATTAGGTCAGTTATTGACGATTTTAATAATTTTTACATGCATTAACGTAAGAAGAAGCTTCCAAATTCAATTGGGAGCTTCAAATCAACTTCAATTTAACTTTTCCACAAAAAGGAAACTTCAATTTATAAATCCTGAGAGTTTCAAGTCACTGTGATCATTAGAAATATTTTTTACAAATTATTTTTGCATATTTTAATCATTTTTGCATGCATTACCAATATTACCATTAGAAGTACATGCTTCCAAATTCAATTAGAAGCTTTAAATCAACTTCAAATTAATTTTTTCACAAAGAGGAAACTTCAAAATCTTGAAAGTTTCAAGTCACTGTGATCATTAGAAGTATTTTGCACAAGTGATTGAATGTGCCTTGTTTTTTTCATCTGATCCAAATAAATCATTAATTTAATTAAATGTTTCATTTGGAAATTCAACATATGTGGCAACATCGCACGAATACTACAAACTCCCATAGCAGTGTTGCCAATTGCCTAAACCTAAAGAATAATACTCTCTTCCTATACAAACTAAAAGAAAACTAAATTGGGTTGAATTTTTGTGTAAATTTGAAACATCTGGTAATAATGCGAAACTAGTACAAACCCTATAAAACATTTTTGCCACACATTTCACTTATTCTTTCAACCATACACAAGACGTAGAAGATCTTTTCCCACATATTCACCCCCCCACTACAGGGGTTATGTGAAGAGATATCAAAAAATTGTAAATACAACAGTTTTGGGGTTTTACCTGAAATTCTTGAATCTGATGTAAAAAACTTTTTTGTTTTTTTAGAAATGTCAAATTTTGACAAATGGTCAGTCTTTTTTATGGGTACGCCCTATATATGACTTTATAGTTGAAAAGAGTCGAATTTCCTGATGTGAAATATATGTATATGGTTGAAATGATAACGAAGGTTGAAATTATAACAAATGTGAGTCCATTTTTCAATGAAGGAGAACAAAAAAATCTCACAATTCCAAAAAGAGAAAATTTATTTTTCAAAAATCTCTCAATAGTTTCGCGGGGTCCAAAACTTACACCCCATCATCCATCAAAGGGCTACAAAGAACAATAAGAATAATATTCTAAAAAACCTTCCTTAAAGTGTACTTACAATTCAGGATACAAAGTCATGTATAAAAGGTGTAAAAAGTGTAAAAAAGTTGTATAAAAAGGTGTAAAAAAGTGCAACAACACACAAAAAACAGTTAGGGGAAACCATATGTAAATGGGTTTAACTACATACTCTAAATTAGGCGGGCCGTTTGGGAAATATCAGGGTGTAAACTTCAAGAAAATAATACATCCTACATTGAAAGTATTGAAACACATTCCAGTCGATCAATTTATTTGTCAATTAGGATAAACGTTCAACTTATCGAAAAATAGGTCGGCAACTGGAAATTACCGTTTTAGAATGGTTCTCATGTCAGTTGGTGTTTCTGCTGCACTGGATCGGCAACACCGCTTTCCCGTTTCTTCAACTATAAAGCGATCGCTGAATTTCAGGCTTTGCGTTAAAGCATAGATAAAAGGAAGAAATGCGTTAGTGGACTGTATCTAGGAAAATGAAACACCGGAATTTTGAATTTAACTTAAACGTGATTTGATGAGCACTATTACTTCGAGGGGGTCAAAACAAGAGTACCAGACACAGGCTGGTTATTGAGTACAACGATTTTAAGGTATCTGAGCGCACAGGCTTCATAAAAAACGAAAAAGGCGTTAAAAAACGAACACGCACGCACCTTCTCGTTCTGTGGCTCATTGCGTACTGACTCATGCTATTTTTAAAATCGCTGAGTGCGGCATCCCTTGCAATGTCAAATTAAGGGCTTGTTTCCACTAGTGCAAAATTAAATAAAATGCATTGGATTGATTTTTGCTGTCGTGGTTGCTTTTTTAGACCTTAAAAAATGTGAAAAGAAATTTAATATTTTACAAGTCTGAACATGGCCCCCCCCGTTGAAAGATCATTTCAACATGAGTTTCAAATGAAATGCACAATGAATAATGAACAGTGAACAATTTAAAGTAATGATTTATCCTAAGAACATCTAAATAATACTTACATCTAAAAAATGAATAGGCTTTCAGTAAGTTATGAAAAGCTACCTTAAACTAGTACTTAATCTAAGGGCAACGGAGCCAGTTTAACGACCGCCCGCTTTATAAGGCCCGACGCGGTTTTCACACTCGCGACTCGCACCACGCCATCCGACCCTGGATGAACTTCGATAATGCGCCCTAGGCGCCACTTGAATGGAGGTAAGTCATTGTCATGTACCAACACCATATCCCCAATAGAAAGGTTGGGTTGGTGAACTTTCCACTTATGTCTCTGTTGCAAATTTGTAACGTATTCCCGGGACCATCTTTCCCAGAAATGCTGCTTTATTTTTTCCAATTGCTCGAAGTGACTCAGTCGATTGGAGGGAGTAAGTGTTACGTCAGTATATGGAAGAGATTCGCATGTACGCCCGATTAAGAAATGCGACGGAGTTAATGCACACAAATCATTTGGGTCCGTAGACATTCGTGTCAACGGCCTTGAATTCAAGACACTTTCAACCTGAGTAATGACAGTGTAAAAACTTTCAAAAGTCAATGTGGTGGGAGAAGAAGCCAAAGTCATTAATAGATGCCGTTTTGCCGACTTGATCGCTG